ACATCATTCCATTATCTTGCGACCACCTCCAGCTTGTCTGCCTTCGTCTGCCTTCGTCTGCCTTCGTCTGCCTTCGGCGCCGCGGTCTCCAGCAATCTCTCCAGCCCCTCCAGTCACTCCAGCAGGGGCCTCCACGACCGCCCTGCCTCTGTGTGTGTGAGTGTTTCGCGTGTTTCGCGTGTCCCGGATCACGGCGTTGGCTTTGGCCCCGGGGCCCTGCTGCTACACACACGTGCGGCCGAGCTTAGTGAAAGCCTCGCCACACACACACACACACACACACACGCACACACACACGCTGGAGAGCAACGTATGCTCCCTTATCGCGGGTGAGCAGCCTGCAGCCAAGGCATAGTAGTCTGAGATTGTTCCAGCTTTGAGGAATTAGCGACGTTACAAGGCATGGCGCCGCGCGCGCCGTAGGCCGCAAGGGAGAGGGGCGGGGGTGGGGGGTGAGGGTGCGATGACCCAACTGGAAAGAGGGGGCTGCAAGCAGGTGGGTAAATGGCGTGTGTGACGTCATGGCTTCCGACCGCGTGGCTCTGCCGGTGGCGTGGAAACGGGGGAGGTGTTGTTGTTGTTGTTAGCCTCGCACATCGAAAAGGCCGTGTGCTCCCTCAATAAGTCCCCCGCACCCGGCTCGGCTGGAGGAAGTTTATTTTGACTCGAAAAGCCGCTGCTTTGGCCCCTGCTCCTCGAGGAGGCCGAGGAGGCCGAGGAGGACGTGCTGGACGACGCGCTGGACCGGCGGGGAAAGGGGCCAGGCCGAGCAATGGGGCCGGCGGAGTCTCTCTGCAAGGCAAACATTTCTTTCTGTTATCACTCTGGGGAAATAAAAACGCCGCGTCCGCCAACTTTCGAGTGTGTGTGAGTGTGTCTGCGCTCGTGTTGTTGTTGTTGTTTGTTTGTTTTCATTGTCGCCTTCGTGCTGGTGTGAAGAGGAGCGCAGAGCAACGCTGCCCTCATATTTGATGGTGTGACGGGCTTTAGCGCCACCGTCTCATGGCAGCGTGTGGGCGGTGTGGGCGAGTGTGGGCGGCAGTGTGGGCGACCCCGACGGACGAACAGCGCCGATGAAATTGGCCTCCCGCTGGGGAAACGGAGGCGCGTAAATTCAGGGCCAGGCGATGCGGTGGCGGCATCGCGAGGCGCCCTCTTGTAGGTGCGAGAGAGACAGAGCGACGAAAACGACCCTCGGAATTATCAGTCTACAAGGACCGGTGAAAAGGACTACAATTGTTTGTGCCCCCCGTATTTCGCCAGGAAGTTGGAACGCCTGGCGCGTTTTGTCTCGAAACGTGAGAGGAAGGGAAACTTTCCGGGCAAACAATGAGGGACTGGATGAAGATGATCGAAAGGTAGCGAAGCGAGTCGCCAGTGTTTCCGTGCGGAGTGAATCGCGCCTTCAGCGTCTAAACAGTTTTCGCAGCTCGGCAGGAAGACGCGTACGGCGGGGGCGGAGGGAAAACAGCTAAACAAAAAGATACACAGCGGCGCCCTCGCCCTCCTCCTCCACGCCGAGCCGCGCCGAGCCGCGCCAACGTTTACACTCGCCACCCAAACTAGCTCTGTGATGCCTCCCATGCATACTGACCAAATACCGAAATAGCTTTCCCTCCACTCTCTCTCTCTCTCTCTCCCTCCCCCCTTCAGCCCGCTTCAGCCAGACCCGCGACTGCTGGGCTTCCGGATCAGGGCGCCTGTCACGCTGCGCCCACCGCTCGCTCGTCACCGCCTCCAAGCACCCCGTCGGCTGGCACGGCTGGAAACACGGTGGAGTGGCGGCAGTGGAGGTGACGGCCTGGCGGTCTGACGGCCAGGGCGCGTGCTGCGGGCGAGGCTGCCGAGGCTTTGCGTTTTGCGCGCCTCTGGGCCGGCAGGGCCAGGGCCAGGGCCCGCCTGGACGGCGGCGTGTCTGCCTGCATCTTTTATTTATGAAACCTGTTGCTCGGAACCAGCTCGCCAGCTCGCGCAACGAACCCTCGCACTCGCACGGAAACCCCGCCGTGGCTCGGACGTCGAACCCCGCGCAATTTGAAACTCGCTCTGTCTCTCTCGCACCCCAGCGGCACACAGTGCGAGAGAGCGCGCCGAGTATGGCGCCACGAACCCCCTTTGGACGCCACACCGCCCCGGTTCTTTCGCAGCGCGGGGCGTTAGGTAATTCGCGGACGAAGCTGTGTTCGACGCGCTGCCGCCGCCCGTGAAGGCCGTTTTGCCGGCTCACCGAACAGCAGCAGCCTCGTCGCGCTGTCTCCCTCGCACTCGCGGGGCGCCGGGCGTAGCCGGGCGGGGGTGCGAGAGAGACAGCGCGATTCTTCGGAAATGCTGTCTGCCGCGTCTGCCGTCGCCTCCCACGCGAGCGATCAGCCCAACCCGCTTAGTATTCCAGGCAGGCCCGCCCCGCCCCGCCCCGCCCCGCCCCGCCCCGCCAGAGACTCTGTCTGTTGTCCGCGAATCCCTCGGCACCACTGCGCCGCCAACTTGACGTTCCGGAATAGACCAGTCTGGCTCTGTCGCACATTCTGCCGGCAGACCAATTTCGGTGGACACAACTCCTGGAGCGCGTCGCTCCCGTTCGTCCGACAGGACTTCGAACCGAGCGCACTTCTACGGACAGCCCTTCGGGCTTGTTAGGTACTAAAGCGAAATCCACGCTTACTTTGCAAGTGCGCCGTTCCAAGTGTTTGATGCGAGTTTCATCATCGAGGAATGTATAGAGCTCTGGCGCGGCCATAGGAGTTGCGGGGCCGTAATCCGACCGGGACCGCCTGGCCTGGCGCCGACGGGGGCGCGCTCTGTGAAGCTGGGGGCGGCTTGGTTTGGGGACTGGAGATTGAAAACCCCTCAGCGGTACACTCGTCTCGGTTCGGCAAAAAGACACCCACACACACACACACACACGCACACGGTATCAGGACTTTCCTTCATCATATTCCGTGAGATGAAAAAAAAATTACACAGGGCGGAAGAAAAAGGAACGGAACCCGCAAAGCGTGTTCCGCCGCGCCAGAAAGGTGGAAAACTCGTAATTAAAACGAAAAGCCGAGTTGAGGCGGTCTTATGGCTGCTCGTGACGTGCCGTGGCGTGGCGCGGCGTGGCGCGGCGTGGCGGAGCGGGGCACCTTTTAATCAGCAACAAGAGCCGCCCCCCTCGGTCTGCCACCTGCCGGCCCTTTGTCTCGGGCTGCATCCCCTCGCCTTTTTGCCTTCCGCCTCCTTCGCTCGCGGCGCTCTCCCGGCTTTTCCAGGTCTCCCAGCTCTCCCAGCTCTCCCAGCTCTCCCAGCTCTCCCAGCTCTCCCAGCTCTCCCAGCTCTCCCAGCTCTCCCAGCTCTCCCAGCTCTCCCAGCTCTCCCAGCTCTCCCAGCTCCTCCAGCTCTTCCTCTTCGTCGCGAATCGCAATAAGACGCCTCGCGGATAAGAATATGAATCTTGCGGTGAAAGAAGCTGCTCTCTGGAACGTGAAAGTTAGCGGAGCCTGGCAGGACCCCAGGTCAGCGCCATGGCAGGGCAGCGTGCTGATTCGGCGATTCTGTCTCTCTCGCACCCCGCGTTGTACCACCGCCCTCAAAGGCCGGCTCTGGCTGGATCCTCCAGTGCGACGAACCGCGTGGTTCTCGGCCGTAAGCTCACCGCGTCGTCCAGTACCGATGTTGGGGTTACGCAATCCGGGTACCGGCAGGGGCGCGCGACCGCCGGGTGACCGCCGGGCCGGCGGCACGGACCGGGAGGACCGGGGAAGCACAGCCGGCGGTGGTTCGATTCCCGGCTTCCCGGCCGGATGGCACTCACCTTTGCGGGGCACTTGTGGAGGGTGGGCAGGTCAGGTAGCCTCCCTCCGGGCGACGGGGTGGGCGCGGCGGGCGCGGCGCGTGGCGGGGTGGGCGAAGACGAGGCCTGCAGCGAGGCGGGGCGGACACGGCGCGGCGGACGCGGTGCGGCCCCCAGAGCGCTGAGACGACGACTGGTGGGCTCGGCGCCGTTCGGCTCGCGGCGACGCGGCGTGCGGTGCCGCGGCCGTGCCGTGCGCCACGACACGCCCCTCGCCACCCCCGGCCCCGACGCCCCGCGCCCCGCCCGCCCGCGCCGCCACCACCACTCCAGGCGGGGCCCGGCCGCCCGACCTACCGCCCCATCCCCAGCCTGCCCCAGCCTGCCCCAGCCTGCCCCAGCCCTGATTCAGGCAGGCCCGACGCCCTCGCCCCACCATCGCCTGTTGCCTGTTCGTCGCCCCCGAGCTCAGGTCTCCGCCACGCCCCGCCGCGCCCCGCCCCGCCCCACCCCGCCTGCGTCACGCCCGTACGACACCCGCACGTGCGCCACGGACCAGCATACAGCAGCCGATCAGGTGGCGAGGCGAACTTGCTGGATGCTCTGTTGCACCTGACAGCGGTTTCCAGCGAATCAAAACGGCGTCAAAGTGATGTCGGAGGATGTGGAAATAACATCCCTAGACCTCATTCTGACCCCACCTCGATCCGCTTGCTCTCTTTGAGTTAGGCTCGTAAACTGCCTGGGCTCTTTCAATGAACGTGAAAAGAATAAAAATAAAGTAAGACCGACTGTTGCTCCTTTCTTTTCACCCTGTGACCTCTGCGCGACTGACTTTCGGGCGCCCCGGGCCTGGATTCTGGATATTCGCTCATTCAATCACCGCGATATCTCTTCCCATATCTGCCATAAAAAAGAATCCGCGCCAATCGACAAGCGAGCGCGTCCACCGCGTCCACCGCCCGCACCAGGCACCAGCTCCAGCGGATATTTTTTCTCAATCGACTCAAGGGCGCCCCCCTGCCCGCTTCCCCCCCTCCCCCTCCTCCCCAAGGGGTGAAACAACGCGAGGATATGAGCGCCGCCCGGCGGTCCCGGCGGGAGCGCGTGCACGTCACGCGGAGACTCCGCGCCCAAGAGACTCGCGCCCGGAGTATCGGCGCGGAGTCTCTGCGGCGCCGCGTACTGCCGCCTGCCATGCCACGCACGGGGTGTCGGCAACGGCCTGCGGTGTAGTGGCAAGGCATGCCCGACCGGCACCGTGCGTCTTTGACAAAATGCTGAACACGACTTGCCTCTATCTTGAAACTATGTATTTGAAGTTGCAGACGCGGCCTTAACGTTTTCCATTTGAATTGATTTGTTCTTGACAAATTCTCATACCATCCCTTTGGGCAGTGGGCAGTGTCGTCTGCTCAGCGCCGCAGGAGCTTGTTGTTGTTGTGTGGTGTGGAGCTGTGTTTACGTGTACTCTGTGGACTCTTAACTCTGATTTTCGCGTGTCTTTTTTAGACTTTTTAATAACCAGACTCGTAAAGTTTCTCTTTTAATAGTGCTACAAGTTTTATGTTTCACTTTAACGGCCATCATGAGGCTTCCTTTTCAACGGCGTTTAGGTTAGTAAGCTAAAGCACGTCTTTTCTGATCATTTCTGTGATACTACTGAATGACGCTCTGTTCTCATGAGGCGAAACCATAAAGCATGTACTCAAGCATCGCGAGTTGTATCGCTGCTAGTATATAACCATTTGACTCTGTTTGATGCTGTTCAAACATATGTGGCTGCAACTAGTTGCATTGTTTGAGTTATTTATTAATGAATGTCCAAATGTTTTGCAGGTCTTGTGCCACAATTGCTTCATCAGGTGTCCAAAATACAGACTAGAAGTTCAGACTTCTCACTTCTTTCTCGGCAGCTCTCTAGCAACAGTAATTTTATGAATACACAATATATTGATGTCTCTGAAGAAGTCCGCTGTGCGCTTTTTGAGGGTAAACCAGTTGTTACTTTGGAGACAGCTATCCTTACACATGGTATGCCAAATCCAACAAATGTGGAAACAGCCCTTAGAGTTCAAGAAATTGTTAGAGAAAATGTTAGTGATAGAAATATTAATTGCTAAATAAGGTACTTTTTTTATCATTGACACATTTACTTTTACCATCTGCCTTATATTTCAGGGGGCTGTTCCTGCAACGATAGGCATAATCAAGGGAAGAATCAAAGTTGGCTTGGATGATGATACATTGATTCGCCTCGGCACTGTGAAGACTGACACTTTTAAGACTTCGTACAGAGACCTACCTTTTGTCTTGTCTCAAGTAAGATTTCATTTGTAGGTTTTACTTTCACTGTACTTTGTGGACCAGGGATTAAACAACTTTATTTAATTCACAGAAATTGAATGGCGGCACCACTGTATCTACCACTCTGACAGTGTCCAAAGCTGTTGATGTTCCTGTAATGGTTACTGGTAAGACACAATTATCGTTTTATCTTTTGTGCTTCCAGTTAGTTTAATTTCAAAGACTACTTTAGAACACACATTCATTACCTTTTTTGGTTTCCAAGAAACTTTCTCAAAGTGCTTTTCAATTTATTTATTTATCTATTTGCTTATTTACCTTACTTCTAGACTGGAAATACAATTCTACTTACGTATTTTTCTATAGGTGGGATTGGAGGAGTTCATCGGGGTGGAGAGACAACTATGGACATCAGTGCTGATCTTGTTGAGCTTGGCTGTACTCCAGTTGGTGTAGTGTGTAGTGGTGTTAAAAGTATTCTTGATATTGAAAGGACTCTTGAGTTTCTGGTGAGTAAGAAGAACCTTTCTACTAACCAGTGACATTTGTTAGTTTTTAATGGTTGTGCTTTTTTTAAAAATGATTTCAGGAAACTCAAGGTGTCTTGGTTGCTTCATTTGGCCCAACTAAAGATTTTCCAGCATTTTACTCACGAGAGAGTGGTCAACTTTCTCCATACAATGTAAACACATCTGAGGAGGCAGCCGGTCTAATCCATGTGATGAGAAACAGCCGACTGAGGAGTGGTTTAGTCATTGCGGTGCCTGTGCCACAAGAGAGTGCCATTCCGCGTAAGTTCAGCTGCAAACATTGTAGACTTTGCACCCTAAAAAGAAACTATTATTATGGTTTTTTATGCCTGTCCTTTTGTAGGTGATGAAATGGAGGAAATTATTAAAGTTGCTGTCAGTAAGGCAAATGAGAGTGGCATTCGAGGTAAAGAAATTACACCTTATGTGCTCAGCCAGGTTGCGAAAAGCACAGCTGGCCGTTCGTTAAGTACTAGTATCCTTTTGCATAGACAATAAATGGTACTTCTTTTGCTTTTCCTAAAGGTGTTTCACTGGTAGAGTAATAACAGAAATAGTTTCTACTTTGATTGTGTGTTCTTAACTCCTTGTAGATGTTGCTCTTATCCAAAATAATGCCGCTGTAGGTGCAAAAATTGCAGTGGACCTAGCCAAGCAGAATTTTAAAAGGTATTTTTGATTTTAGTTTTCATATTTCTTGTGATTAGTGACTACACGATTTAAAGAGTTTTCATTCTCACTCTCTCCATCTGTCTGTACTCTTATTGTGTTTCAAATGTTACACAGATTGAAACCCAACACTCAAGGTGGAACAACTAAGGAAAAACCTGATGTAGTGAGTTGAACTTGTCTTGAACTTTAAAGATGTTCGGTCATATAAGTACTTTCTTAAAAACAATTTTTTTTGTCTTTTAAAATTAGATGGTGATTGGTGGTGCAGTGGTCGACAACATCACCAAGCTGTCGGAGCCTTTCAAGGTAAGCTTCAACTCTGTCGCTGCTTCTCCTTTCATTGCCATTGCTTGTGGTGATGTGACATGTCTGGATCATTGTGTTAGATTTAATGATCTTGGTCAGATGTAGAGAAATAATGCACCCTTGTTTATTTTGCACTATGTACATTGGGATACAAGCAACAAAAAGGGTTTCTCTGTGTGAAGACTTGTCTCAGGGGACTGTTACGTTTGCTGTGCAAACTGGTCACGGACATGCTGTAATATATGTAACACACACATATATATTGTCTTAACAGTTTCACAGAAACATTTTAATTGATTGGAGGTTAAAGCATTTTGAAAAGGGACATTCTGAGGAGACATATCTAACTTCTCATGAGCCACCTTTTCCAACACTCATGGGATACAAATCACCTATGTGGTTCTGGTCTGTGGTAATTTTTCCCTCCATTGCGGGGGCATATCTACCTTAAGAGTGAAGGTTTGAAATATGTTGTTTTATGTTATTTTTGTCAAGAAAACGGTGACTTCTTCTATCAGTGCAAAATCTAACTTGAGAGCAAGTTTTGAATGTTTTATTTTCATCTGCTTTGCACTTCAGTTTTATGTTGACTCCAAATGTTCATTATTGTTGATAAGCTTTTTCTTTTAGTGACTCTTGCCTCTCCAAATCAGGATGAGATATCTATTGTCAGACTATGCCCTCCTTGACAAGTGTAAATTTCAGATCGTGTTACTGAAAAAGATGTTAACATTTTTCACAAACTAGTAAAACCAAAAATAAGTAAAAATTTAAAGTTGAACATGAACTCACATATTGCTTTGTAACTTTTAAATATTCAAACTTATTAACATTGTTCAAAATCAGTCACTCTATATGCTTAATTATTTAAAGGAAATTGATAATAATCTCAAAATGGTACAATGTAGAAAAAAAATTAGTTCCATTACGCTCTGATAAACCAAATTTGAAACTACACATAAAGCTTGTCTGATGAGAAACAAAGGCACACCTTTCAGGATTAATTGGTAAATTTGACAAAGACTTTGGAGATAATTATGGCCTAATATGTCTTCTCTCCCCACTCGTGTGACTTACACTATACTCAGAACATTGCTTGTTGTCCATTGCAAAATTGCATATCACACAGGAGAAGGCACGCATCAATTGCCAGTGCAGCAGTAGATGTTCCTTTGTTCGTGAGACACCACAGTTCCGATTCCATTGCTTTTCTTCATCAGGTACCAATCCACACTTCAGGGAGGTCCACTCACCACATGACTACCTTTCTCGCTCATTTCGCAAGCGTCTCTCATTTGATCAAAATTGTATTATTTTCCCCCTCGAAGGGCGTTGTCTTTTACATAACATTACCTATAAAATGAACACACGATATACACTGTCGTCACCGCTTTTGCGATGCGCTGATGCATTCAGTTCGGGACGTTTGATTTTAGCCGCCTGGGTCGCGGGCCTGGACGTGGCGTAGCGCAGAAGCTTCCCGAGCCGAGCGGAGCCGAGCGGAGCCGAGCGGAGCAGAAAGCAGCCGAGCCATGCGGCGGTATAGCGCGGAGCTGAGCCGAGCCGGGCGGAGGAGGGTAGGGCAGCGACCCTGCGGGGCGCTCTACCCTGGGCAGTGGGGCCGTGGCCGTGGGCCGTGGGGCCTGGAGCGTAGCGCCGTGCCGGACCTTGTCTGGAAGCCCGTCCAGCACGCCGCGCCACGCCACTGGCAGCGGGGGCAAGGAACAGGAAACGGCATGCAGGCTGGGCCGAGTCGCCGACGAGTCGAGTCTCTCCGCCACTTTGCGTAGCTTTTGCTTTTTGTCGGGGGCGCCCCCTCTCCCTTTTTCTCTTTTCTCGCTCAGTCCTTCTCCTTCTTCCTCCTCCGCGGCGCGCCGTCGCCGTCCTTGTCCTTGTCCTTGTCCACGATGCCGAAGGGGAACTGCACGTTGTCGCGCGGGAACCAGGCGGCCAGCCAACGCCGTAGTCATATGTCGCTGCGGTGCCTGTGCGTGGGGTTGCGCGCCAGCAGCACGCGGTTCATGTCGTGCAGCTCGTGGAGCTCGTGCAGCTCGTAGTTGTTGTTGCCGTTGGAGCCCTGGCGCGCCATCTTGGGCTCGGACTGGCCATGCTGCTGCGCCGCCAGCCCCGCCAGCCCGCCGCCGCCGTCGTCCTGGATGAGCAGCGCGCAGTGGCTGTTGGTGTCCGAGTCGTTGCCGTCCTGCAGCGACAGGTGGTGGTGGTGGTGGTGGTGCCGGTGGTGCAGCATGGGCGTGTGCTGCACTAGCTGCACCTGGGGCGCCGCCGTCTCCGCGCGCTCGCCGCCCCGGTCCGGCAGCACTCGGTCCAGGCCCCGGTCCAGGCCCCGGTCCAGGCCCAGCGCGCCGCCCGCCGGCGTGTGGTGCAGCGGCGTGGTCTGCAGGCTGTCGGCGGGCTGCAGCAGCAGCGGCGTCGTGCCCGAGTCGGCGCGGCCCCGCCTCTCCTGCGGCGTCCGCGAGCTCCCTGCAACAAAGAAAGTCGCTCTGTCTCTCTCGCACTGCCGGGGCGTCCCGCTTGGGTGCGAGAGAGACAGAGCTTACCGATGACGGGCGAGTCGTCCTGCTGGCTGGCGCCCTGGCCTCTGCCCGTCACCAGGGAGCCGTTGTTGTTGGAGAAGCGGGCCGCCTGCTGCGAGCCGGGCGGCGGCGACTTCCTGCCCTGCGGGTCCTGGTCCGGCGAGCTGAGCTGCGGCGCGTTGAGCTCGCCCTGCAGCATCCTGATCTTCTGGATCATCTCCTTGATCTCGTACCTGCGGGCCGAACAAACCGATCAACGACTGCAGTGCAGTGTGCGCGCCGCGAGGCTCGCCCCCACAGTGTACCCACCTGAGGATGCCCAGGAAGCAGACCTTGACGAAGCCCAGGATGCAGTAGCCCACGATGAAGAGGATGTCGGCGGCCGACGTGAGCCACGCTTTGAGCCGCACCTCGCAGCCCGTGACGTAGAAGCGCGTGAGCGGCGCCGTGGGCTTGACGGGGTGCGTGATGATGCGGCCGCCGCCCGCGGGCACGCCGCTCAGGCTACCGCCGCCGCCAGTGGGCCCGGCGCCTCCCACACTGCTGGTGCTGCTGGTGCTGCTGCCGGGGACGCCGTCGGGCGGGTGCAGCAGGCCGCCGCAGTAGAGGTCGGCCGCGTCCGGGACCACGCCGGGCCGGCCGTCCTCGGGCCGCGGCTCGAAGATGTGGTACTCGTCCTCCGCCTCCAGCCCCACCGTCGTGGTGGACGGCGTCGACGTGGTCGTCCCTGCCGCCGGAAGGAGGCACGGTCAAGTCAACCACTAAAAGTGAGTGTCGGAACCGGGATTCGAACCCGCGCGGCACGTACCGTGGTAGTGGAAGTTGCGCAGGGCGGCGGAGCGCGGTGGCAGCGCGGGGAGCGGACGGCAGCAGCTGTCTGGCAGCCAGCCCAGCGAACGGTTCAGCGCTGCAAACCAAAGACGAAGTGTTCAAATATCCCAAATAAACTAGGCGCAAACCACTTGACATGTGAGAAAAATAGAGAAATAAAAACCAAGTAAATGACGCTCGTGTGTGCCCGTTACACAGTTTATTTTACAGTGCAGCTAGGGTCCTTGGGAAACTGAAGCCGCAGCTTTGAGTCCGCAGGCGCGCACTGCGCCGCCACGCCGCAAGTCGGCGACGCGTTGCTCCTTACCAGTGTAGTCCGCGGGGCCCTGGACGCCGCAGCAGCGGTTGTCGCGCTGGTACGCGTCCCACGTGGCCGTGAAGGCCGAGTCGACGCTGTACTCCTGCAGCAGCCGCTGCCGCAGCCAGGGCCGCAGCTCCTCGCAGATGCTCTCGAAGCGGAACAGCCACACGACGCCCACCATGGCGTCGCCGAACAGGAGCAGCAGCAGCAGCAGCCAGTACACGTTGAGCAGCTTCTGGTTGAGTCGCCGCGCGCCCAGGCAGCCTGCAGGGGCAGTGGAAGAACTCGCGCAGAGTTAGTGGGGGTCGAAAATCGAAAACAAGTTGCATGTCGGTCCGATGTGTGGTAACCCGTGCCTGCTGGCCAGGTGGCGCAGCTGTCGAGAGAGAGAGAGAGAGGGGGGGGGGGACTGGGTAGCGGCGGTGATAGATTGGACGGCGAGGCGAGCGAGCGCCCGCGAAGTGGCGGGTAGGCAACCCGGCCCCCACGCCTGTCGCGGCGTTGCCTACCCCGGACTTCGCAGGCGCTAAGGGAGCCAGTTGCCAGTTTGGCCTCCTCAGCACGCTGCGGCGCCGCGGTCCTCGATCGCCGGCCACCTCCAGCACGGCGGTTCCCCTTTTCTCCCCCCAAAAAAAGAACAGAACGTCCTTGACCTACACGGCCAGAAAGCGCGAGCGTCACGGGGAAAAGTAAACCCCTACAGTGATTAATCCTTCCCGGCCGCGGCGGCTGGTTTGCGATGCGGCCCCGCGACCCTGAGGGCTCTCTGTCCCTCCCGCACCCGCGCGGGATGTCCCGCCCGTGGGAGGGAGACAGCGACGAAAGTCGTCTTCGGCATCAGCCCCGTGCCGCCGGCCCGCGGCGGCAAGTGTATTAATATCAGAATTCTCTTCCGCCGTGCCGTGCCGCGCCGTGCCGTGCCGTGCCGTGCCGTCGCGGCACTGGCTCCACCTTCCGCTACCCCGCCCCCTGTCCCCCGCGGGCAACGCGCGGCTTTGAGAAATGATTAACGAGACGGCTGCCAGGAGAGGAAAGTGAGTTCCTCTCGGCCGTGTGCTGCTCCATGCTGCTCTCGCTGCCCTGCTCGCACGCCGGCACGGCGGCACGCGGTGGATGCCCTGGAGCCCGCGCCGCGCTCGGCCGCGCGCTCTGCCTCTGTTTATTCGTTATTTCGCCTCATTCGCGGTCTCGCTTCATTTCCGCAGCGCAGTGGCCAGGGGAGCCACCAACTTAATTTAGTTTTCTTATTTTCCGCGAGACCACGCTCGCGCGTGTAAGTATGTGTGTGTGTGGGGGGGGAGAGAGAGAGAGAGAGATTTCCATTCCGAGAACGCCGCCACACTCGTGCCACGTATTTGCCAAACGAGTCGTTACTTCCTCTGACGCGACCGCGCCGCGCCCCGCTTCGCCCTGCCTCCAGCCCACTTTGCGCTGCGTTAGAAATAATACGCGGTAACAAGTTTTCTCGGCTGTGTGGGTGTGTGTGTGTGCAAGGGAGAGAGAAAGTGTGTGTGTGTGTGTGTGTGTGTGTGCAAGGGTGGGAGAAAGTGAGAGTGTAGGGCAGCGTGAATGTGTGTGAGAGAGAGAGGGAAGGGGCGGGCCACTTGAACCGCGGCGCGAACAAGCCACGTGGAATATTCCTTTGCCCGGCTGGCCCGTAACGGTCCGCAGCGCGGCACACCGTCCGCACCGGCCCGTCGGACCCGTCGGCGGCGCCAAAGTTTTCATGATATTTTATTCTTGGCGGGAAGAATGTGGAGCAGGCGGCCCGGCAGCTCCGTGTGGCTGGGCTGCGCTGGGCGCGGCGTGGGTGGAGATTGCTTTTGTTTTGCGCGGTAGTTGCGGGCAAGCAGGTGTGAATGAATACTGGAACGGGCTGGAACGCGCATCCCGGCCCGCCAAACGGCCACACAGGGAGGGGCCGGTCCGTAAATAAGGAAAAATACCCCGCGCGCTGCTGCAGCTTCTGGAACTGACACGTCAAAAAAAAATATTTTCGCGGTTGGCATCGCGTCCGCCGCTCGGAAAGAGACAGCCGATCCGCAGTGTAATGGATTACCTTCCGCGACGCCTCGCGAAGATGGATGGAGCGAGGCTTGTTTGAATTAACAGTGTCGCCGCGAAAAAAGAAAATAATTGGTCGGACGGGCGAGCAGAAGGCGAGCGAGCGAGAGGCGGGGGCCGGCCGAAGCCGCGGTCCGTTGTCGCCGTCGTCGCGAAGGCGGGGCGGGGCGGGGCGAGGCGGGGCGGGGCGAGGCGGGGCGACGCCAGGCGCAGCATCATCGGAAAGATGACGCCCGCGTGGTGGAGGGGCGGGGCGGCCTTTGGGCGGCCCGCTATCCCAGCAGGATTAATCCCCCACCCCCCACCCCGGCCACCGCTGATTTTAATGCTAAGAGGCGCCTTGGTTTATTTGCATGCCATTCTTTAAAGGGACGCGCGGGACAAGAGGCGATGTTATCTTTTACATCCTGCGCGCCTCGCCCCACCCCGCCCCACCCCATGGAGGCTGCGCTGGGCGGCGCTGGGCTGAGCGAGCGGCACCATTGTCGAGGAGTCACTCAGAGACCGCGGTCAAATAGCCGCGACAAAGGGAGCCGATTTATCAGCAACCACCTCAGGCTCGGCGGGGCGGGGCGGGGCGGCTACTCTTGCCGCAATTAGGGAATCTGGGGATCTTGGCGGTTACTTGGAATTACACACAATCACAACCCCACCAGTCACAAAAAAACAACCGGTTTCAAGATTATTCTGCTTTTTTGAGTGACTAATCTATCATTGAAAAGTAGAGGAAAAGGCACTGACCTATCATCTGGATGAAGCCGCTCTGCGAGAGCACGGCGAAGTAGCCGTAGAGGAAGGTGGGCTGCAGCAGGGACAGCCCCGGCACCAGGTTGCGGCGCTGGTCGAAGACGACGGTGTGGCACGCCGTGACGGCGAAGCCCAGCACGCACACGAGAAGCAGGCCGTTGCACGTGTAGATCCACAGGCGGTAGTACTGCATGGCCCGCGTGTCGTAGTGCAGGGGGTGCGCCGGGGCGGCGCGCGGGGCGGGCGGCGGCGGCGGCGGCGCGGCGGGGGCGTTGGGGGGCCGGCTGGGCCCCACAGGGCGCCCCGTGGGGCCGGCGGCGTCGGCCGGGCCGGGGCGCGGGCGGAGGCCGGCGGGCTCGGGCACGGTCGGGACCAGCTGCACCGCCTTCTCGCTGGACCTGCGCAACGTGTCCCAATTGTTTTCAACTTGACCGCAACAACAACAAACATAAAGTGCGTCGGTGTCGCCGGAACCCTTTGCATTGCTGGGCACTCGACGCCGTGCAGGCCCCTGGTGTGGCACTCGTTTAAGTATGCAAACTGTGAGTGTGTGCTCAGCTACGAATCATTTTGCATGTGTAAGTACACAACACACCCGCGGAGAACTCGGCCGCACCCAAAGTATGAGCCTAGCGTGTTCTCATTATGACCATGAAAAGCTCCTTCATCTAGGCAAGAGCTCGGGACATCCATTTGCGTCGCAAGTGAATGATTGGCTTATGAAGACATCGTCGGTCTACCCCTGCCCGGCATGTGCCCAGGGTCTGTGCCCAGGGTCTGTGCCCGGGGCATGCCCTTGGGCCGTGCAGGGGCCGGATGGTAGGTTGGCATGGCGTGGGGCCGTTAGGGGCCAAAAATACGATACTCCTTCACACATCACACAAAGCATCAGGCGGGAACATGCACCGTGTGGGTAATGGCCGAGGGTGCTCCACAAAAAAGACATGACAAAAGTCGCGCTAAATGGTGTTGTTGCCTTTCACTCCACAAAGAATTCAGGTGTTTTCCGAGACTGACGAGCTTTTTTATGTTTCATTATCAGAAATTTATCAAAGTTTTGGTTTAACTGCAGATACGTTCTGCGTAAGGTGCAAGTTTTTCGTTTTTGAGAAAAAAGCATTCCGTTTTCTTCTTTAGTTGCCAGAAACGAATTAATATTTTCTCACGCGCATGTGTGTGTTTGCTAAAGTTCAACCTCGTCAATGTGCAGAAAACAGTGTTTTTCCCAAACTCGCTGCTTGCTTACGGTCTGTCCATGAAGGGCCTGTGGTGGCAACATGGTGCCATGCATGGTATGACCATACCGTGCTGACTTGTCACACTGCTCATGTCTCCTCATGACGCTCGCCGCGAGGCCTGTTCATGACAACACTCATTTTTATTCCCGGAAATTAAAAATATGGCGGACACGTTTTCTGTTTTATGGCGCATTGCCACACGCACGCGCCGCGGCCCTCTTTTTTTTGTAAAACTAATTTTCTTTTGTTGGCGCGGCCCTGACAGCGTCGAGGGGGTCGTGGCGTGTGGCCAAAGTTCCTTGACTGACGACAAATTGGCGAGTGTCGCGTGTTTAGGCAATCGTTTCAAAATCTGGATCGGCGCACGCCGCCCCGCCCTGCGTCGCACTTGACTGATGATCCCAAGGTATGGCGAGGCAGCGGGAGGGGGGGGGGGTCAATGTTGACGCAGTGCAGTGCCGCGACGACAGCCCCCTGATGAGGCTAATGAGATTTCACGCCCAAAATTACCCCCACCCTCTGCCCTTGCCTTGTTTGCACACACGAAAAAACAGGGGGCTTTGTTAGCGGGTAGGGAAAAATTTGGAAAGCTTACAGCGAACACATTTTACGGTCTTCTGGACCGTGTGGCTTAAGTTTCCCCCTTCCTTTTAAGTTTTTTTTTCGAAGATCTCATTCCTGTAAAACTTTAAGCGCCCCACATTGCGTATTTCCGTACACATTCTTTTCGTCCGTCTGCGCACTCTTTTTTTTTTCGAAGTTCGGCGCTGGCGATGCGACTTACCCGAGGGGAGGATGGCTTGGGCCGGGGCAGGGCTGGCAGGGCTGGCAGGGCGTCTGAGAGGCGAGCGGGGGTATGTGTTGCTGCAGGAGCATCACCACCATTTGGGGTGGTTGGCTGACGCCGAGCACGCCAAGCCCTGGTGATGGCAACACACGATGAATTTCTTTTCACGTTTCAGGAAGCAAACAAGGTTGCAAAAAGTGCTCACCTAGTCCGCTGGGTTAGCAGTGCAAAGGGACTCGTCTGGGCAGGCGTAGTCTTGGGGGAAGCGGGGCGAGGCTAGCAGGGGGAGTCTGGTCTCGATGGGGCGCTCGTGCCGCGGGGCTGCTCCTGTCCTGCCAACATGCAAGCCTTTTGAGTTCCAAGTTCCAGGCACGTTCTCCATAAACATACTATCCTCAATTTTCGACAGAACTACAACAAATCTACAGATCATGATTTTATACATTTGAAAAGGTCGTCGGAGAAAGCAGCCGGTTGCAATGACAGCCACCGAACTGGGTGCCCCCTCCCCAACCGCCCTCTCCACGCCACTGTACTCACCTCGTGACTCGTCACACCCCGCTGGCAGCTCGCGACCGCCTTGCTGCCGAGTCCAGTTGCGGTGCTCGTCTGCAACAGATTGGCACGGATCAAACACTTTGCGGTGTGTCAGTCGCCGGGACCACCTCCATGCCCGACAACACCGTAAATCTCCGAGCGCCGCAATGTCGCGCGTCACGGATGACGTCACGAGTGACTCGATTGGACGGCGTGACAGACTGCGCGTTGCGCCGATGACGTCACGCGGCGCCGCGATTGGCTGGCCGGCCGGCTGTAAGTCTGCGGCTGACAGGTCACCAACACAGTGCACCGACCGCAACCGTGCGCGGGCGGATATGTGGCGGTGAATTTTTTTTTTTCAAGCACACGTCTTTTATACCACTATAGTGTCTCTTCCCCTGTCGGGCCGAGGGTCGGAAAGGAGAAAGGGAAAAGGGGGGGGGGCTGTGAATAGTGACACAGAGGAAAAGGGGGAGGGGGGCTAGACGGTCTGGCCTGGTCTTGATGTGTCTTTGGCGGCATCCTGCCTCCTTGGCCTGTCCTTTGACGTCACGGCGCCGCTGCAGCAGCAACACCACCACTAACAACAACAACAACAACAACATGCCCTGGGCGGAGAGGCGTGGCGTGCGGCCTCATGCAATCTTCCACGTTTGTGTTTCGCCCAAAGGAGAGGGGCCTTTCCGGGAGGCCTCTCTCTTTAAAAATGTAACCTCTGTTTGCTCGGTCGCGTGAGTAATTTCATCACACGAAGCTACTACTCTCTCTCTCTCTCTCTCTGCAGGCATCAAACGTCACGAACAGACAAACATTTCGCACCTACCCACTTTTTTCACGCCGAAAAAATAGTAACAAAAAAAAACAACGGTAAATTTATTCTAACATGCGTTGCTTCTGAAAAAAAAGTTAGGTTTGCATTGAAAATAGATGATTCGGTAGACTCACAATTTCTGATGTCAATTCTCTTTTTCTCTGTTTCTTTTTTCAAACAGTGAAAGTACCCGGGCAGGGCACTGCAGGGTCATTTTTCTGGAGACCCGCGATTTCCCCGTCCCTATGTTTTTTTTTGTAGCAGTGTCGGTGCCGGGGAGAGCACTAGAAGGTCATTTCTCTGGAGGCTGCGCCACGCTGCGCCGCGCTACCCGACTGGGAGTGATTCTTCCAACGCGGTGTTTATACGGCCGTTGCGCCGCGTCCTTCCTTTCGCGCCGCACCGCTGCAGCCCCGAGCCGTGCCCGTTGCTGTTCGTGTGCCATGCCGCGAGCCTCAACTTCCAGTACTTCGGGGTCCGGGCCAAACGACGGAATAATGAAGCATTGCCGTTCTTTTGTTCGGCGCGCGGCTTCGGCCGCACCGGCTGCTTTCGGACCGCTTCCAGCTCACTATCAGTGCCCTGGTTTTCGGCGGCGCTGATCTTGCCAAAGAGCATCCCCGTGGACAAGGACGCTCTTACCACTCGTTGGCGCGTAAATTTCAAAATTGTTTTCTCCTCCACGTTTATGTTAAAAAAAACCGTCACGTTTCGTACACTCGTTGACAGAGCCTTTGATTGCTTTCCCCGTGTGTTTGCTCTGAGCGGTGTGTGTGTGTGTGTGTGTGCGTGCCTGCCTGCCGTCCGTGCCACAGAGACTGTCCTAATGTGCCGGTGGGGTCGTCATTCGGGTCACGGCTCGGGATTAATGCTCTAATAACTTCGCCCACCCCTTTTCCTTCTCTCCCAACGAGCCCCGCGCACTGCACTGTCAGAAAAAAAAAGAAAACTTGTCAAAATTCCAAACATTTTACTTTTTTTTCCCGGCATGAAAATGTTTTGCATGGGCGTCCGTCAAACAAAGTGAAAGTGGTGATTCGCCGTCGCGCGTTACTCGCCTTGTTGTTGTTATGATTGGGCCTCGCCGACTTTATTAAACTTTGATTTTTGCAGAGTGGGTTTCTGGCAGTGTATGAGTGGAGCAGACAGGTGCACGGGGATTGGATGGGCCTGGGCCGCCGGGCTGCCCGGGCCGCCGGGTCGATGCCAAAGTTGGCCAAAGTTTTTAAGCGAGAACGAACGGTGTTGATTGAACTACTGGAAGGCAGCAAAACAAGAAGATTGGACCTGAGCAACCCCGTCTGGGCGGCTAATGGGAGAGTCGGTTGTCTCTTGAACCGCGGTGCAAGTTGAACAACAACCAAACAATAACAACTAAAACTGTCAACAAACACTTGAAAGCGGTGTGCAGTGTTCGGTGAAATTCGCCCTCCTATTCACATGAGTTGTTTTCCGAGTAAAATGGGTGCAGTTTACGGAGGGCGATTGAAATGGTGCGGGACCCGTTCCTCGTCCGTGATGCCCTATTGCTCAGTAGATCACCCCTCCCCTCCTCTCCCCCCTCCACCGGCCTGTCGTGGCGCTGTGATGTCGGTCGCCTGCCCGACCGACCAGCCCGACCGCACGTCGCCGCAGCCAGCGTGTGGCGCGGTGTGAGGTTGTTGCCGTGCTGCGGCATTTGACTCGAAACAGCTCGCCTCGCAAAATGGTGCTCTGCTTTGAGGGTCCGTCTCACGAGTGTTGTTGTCTACACTGCATCACAACGCAAGTCTTTCACATTGGCTTTCAAAACCTCTGTGGTAACTCAAAAACCAAAAAAAAAAAAAAAAAAATCACAACGGTGCAGCAGGAGGGACGCGCGCGGCTCTGTGGATCGCGCAAAAAGTTGGGGGTATCAACAGGTGCGCTGTTGTTACTACAATGTACATGTTGTCCTCACAATGGTCGGAGGCGTCGTGGGGGTTGCACGCACCCACTCACGCACACAGACTCACACACACACACAGACACACTCTTTCACTCACTCGCACACATCCGACGCGTGAAACAGGACTGCAGGGCTCTGCGGATGTTGGGCCAGTAAAGCGGCATGGCGATGTGATTATCGGCCGCGCCTGGTGTGGCGTTAATGACATTACCTCCCCTTGTCCTTGCAGACACCCCACTCCACCCAGCTTCCAATCTCTCCCCGTGCCAGTGTACACGTTTTCGGTCGCCACCGAACTCTCTCTCTCTCTCTTTTGCTCTCTCTCCGTCTCTCTCTTTCGATCCCTTCCTTTATTGGGCGGCATTCCCTTTTGGAAGGCATCGGCAGTCCCGGAGTCGTGAGGACGGTGGGCTTGTCGTTGCCCCGCCCTCCCTTACTCCGCCCGTCAAGTCGCGCCAGCGGACACGCACGCACACACACACACACACACACACACACACACGCACGCACGCACGCACTCACACACACGTGATATTACTTTCGTGACACTCAGCCTCGTGTGTTCGAGGTGTGGCTGGCCTACTTTACGGTGCGTCACGTGATTCCAGACCCCCCCCCTCTCTCTCTCTTCGGCCGAGCGGGGCGCATTAGCAATACATGTGCGGCCTGCCGGGCTGGCGAGGCTGGCAGGGCTGGGTAATGCGCTTCAAGCCCCGAAACAGAGACGCCAACGATTCCGTGCGCTACAGCGGCCCCCGCGGCCCCGTCCCGGATTGGATGGGGGATTGACGAAGGCCTGGCCCCGCCTCGCCCCGCCTCGCGACGACGTGTCTCGCTACAGTGTACGTGCGGAGTGGCACGACACTGGAGACGGCGGCCGCCGAGGAAGGCCGGGAATGCCTTCTGGATCTCATTCATGGTCGACTCGATCCAGAAACTCATTAGCGTTTAGAGGACACACGGCTTAATGGAGTCTGCTTCGTATACACTGTTGAGTTTCTACACCAACTTGCAAAGTTTTTTGAGCAAAGGTACCAACTATATTTATTTTTCCACGAAGGCCCGATTGGCTGGCCCGCCCAGGGATTGAAAACGGATTGGAGGTGAAAATTGAGGAAGGGAAGACGGCGGCTGCGGAAATGGAGGATTAAAATTGGGTTGGGGAGGCGGGCACGCGAGTCTGTCTCCCTCGCACGGCACGCCCGACGGGTGCGACGGAGACGGCGCCGAGTCCGCTGTTCGTGCGGCCAGGCCGGCGAGGGAAGGAGGAAGGAGGGCACCGGATGCGCATTTCCTTACTGCCGCCTTTCGATCAGCACGCTCCACCCCGATCCGCTCATTGCCCTTGCAGCGCAGTGTACCGCACAGCCAAAGCGCCCTCGAGATACTCAGAGTACTCCATCGCATTCAGGGCAGCTCTCGTCAAAAGACCCAAAACTAATTTTTTTTCAGTTGATCTGACCGCACCTTCTTTCCCCCCACTGAAAACACGCCACCTTAACGATCTACTTTGGTGTCCTGGATGGAGGGGGTGGGGGAGGTCGTGTCAAAACGGGCCGCGTATTTTAAGAGCGCGCGTCTAAACGCCACCGCGGTCGCTCAGTGGCGGCCCGGGGACCGCCTGGCCTGCCTGCCTGCCCGCCCCCGCGCGGGTCAAGGGAAAGCTGAAAGATTGCCATTTATTATGGACGCGCAATAATCCATCTCCAACTACCCCCTTCCCCTCACCGGGCCGCGCCGCCGCGCTCGGTACGACGTGGTCCTGGCGGATGAAAGATTCATCCCCCTAAATTTCTCATTCCTTATCTTGGACGCTCAGTCTTATCTGGGGGCATGAAAGTTGCACACGGCGGGATTGTGTCGAGTGTGGCGGGGCACTCCGTTAGGCCCTCCGTTAGGCCCTCCGCGTGACCCCTCTCTCTCTCTCTCTCTCTCTCTCTCTCTCTCTCTCTCTCTCTCTCTCACGCATTATTCAAGTCGGCCTAATTCCGCGGCACACTTCTTCGGCCGGCCCACAGTGTGGTCTGTCTCTCTCGCACTTACGGTGGACGCGATGAGGCCGCGAGCGAGACAGAGCGACGTGGATAGGCACTGTTGTTGGTAATCTTCCCGCTGAACGGACAACGTTTTGCCGGCTTCCTTGCGCGGCGGCGGACGCTCTGGAGCTGGACGTGGCGCCGAAGAAGGAGGAGGGGGAGCAGAGGCAGTGCAGCCACGACGGCATAAGCAACAAAGAGAGCAAGGATTCGAATGCCATCGTTGCCGTCTTTGTTGTCATTGCCGGCGTGGCCGAGCGGTGCTCGTCCTGGAGGTCCTGGAGGTCCTCGAGGTCCTGGATGTCCTGGAGGTCCTGGAGGTCCTGGAGGTCTTGGAGGTCCTGGAGGTCTTGGAGGTCCTGGACGTCTTGGAGGTCCTGGAGGTCCTGGAGGACCTGGAGGTCCTGGAGGACCTCATGGTCCCTGCCGCCAATCGCTCTGCCTCTCACGCACCTACACCGCACGCTCCACGAGTGCGAGGGAGACGAGGCTTGTTTTGGCGCCGACCTGTGCCGAAAATGATGCTGGCTTCCCGCCTCGGCCAAGAGAGAGAGAGAGGGTGGGTGGGGGAGCCAATGTCAGGAATTCCCGCCCTGGACAGGCCGGCCTTTGAAGTCCAGGCGTGATTGTCCAAGAGAGAGAGAGGGGGGAGCCACCGCCACGGCCGCCTGGCCGTGGTAATTGCCCACCGAGCTCCCTGTTGCGGTTGTCTCTGTCTGTCCCCCGCACTCACCTTAAGCGCATCTCCGGGGGCGTGGTTCGGCACACTGTGGGGCACAAGAGAAGAGGAATTAATGAGTTGCACCAGCACATCTCGTTTGTGTGTGTGTGCGTGTCTGTGTGACACGGATGCACGACCACGGGTTCACGGGTTGCATAACGCCTCGATGAATTTTGTTGTCCTCCCCCCCCCCCCACCTTCCCCACAGGTCTGTCCCATAAAGCGGGTGATTACATGCGTGGTTCAGCCTAGCCGCCGTGCCGCCTACCCTGTCAACCCTCCCCCGCCCTAAACTTGGCCCACGTGTTCGCACCTGCCTGCTTTCCCCCTCCCCTTCCCCCACCCCTTCTCCCACCCCTTCCCCCACCCCCCGGCTCCAATCCGCTTTCAGACGCGGCAGGCCGTCAAAGCCTGGCCATGCCGTTGCCATGCCGTTGCCGGCAGCGACATCCCTCATCAATAGTGCCCACCCGGGGGACTGCCTGTATCACACAGACAGACAGACCCGCACACACATTGACACGTTTATGATTAATATCGCGCAGCAGGGACCCGGTGCGCGTATGCCTCGCCGTCCGCCATGTTGTCCGGATTTGGAAAGCATCGTCGCATCGGACCACCCTGCCCCGCGCTTCTCCGGTTTTCTCCGCGAAAGCAATGGCCGGTCTCTCCCCGCGCACGTTCCACGACGTTCTAGGCCCTTATCGTGACACCGCGAGAAAGTTTTTTGACAGAGTGCGGTTTGCGGCACGCCTTTTGTGCGGGCTGCCCTGGGCTGCCTGGCTAGTGGTTGGTGGCCGAGCCAGCCCGGCCAGCCGACAGTCAAGTTCTCGCCTGGCTTTGTACGTCAGGTCCCTGTGCCTCTCTGTTTGTCGCCGTGTGTGTGTGTGGCCTTCTATGTTAATTGCACAGCACAATGTGTCACCATCGTATTGCGCGATGCAATCTCTGTAAAGCAGCAGCTGTATGTATGTATTGAAAGCAGCATAGAGAGCGTCTGCCTGTCTGTCTGCCAAACTGTCCTCTGTTTCGTTTCATTCGCCTGCCCGCAAGTCTTTTGACTCGGCATGTTCTGCGAAGAAATAAGTATAGTGGGCAGAACGACGGGCCGGTCAAGATTTTTAGTCGAGCTGCTTGGTGACAGCATAGTAGCTGCGTGTGTGTGTGTGTCTGCGTGCGTTTGTGTGGGTGTGGGTGGGTGTCTGTGTGTGTAGGTTAGAGGACGTCGTTGTATGGCGTTGGTGTACCAAGGCTGGCCTCAAATGGGGGGAGGTCCTAATTAAAGGGATGGGTGTTTGCAGAGGAGCTCCCCCCTCCCCTCACACGGATCTCGCAAAATCTTTGGGTGACGTCCGAAAGCCGCTGTTTGTCTTTCAACTTTCTCGCTGCAGACTGTGTTGGCTCGGCTCGCTGCGAAAAGAGAAACGTGGCGGAACACGACGGAGGGAGCGGCGTGATTTCGACGAATCCCGAGTCTGAATTTCGAGCGTCGCGAATAGCGGTAGAATGCCGGCCACCTGTGCGCTGCGTGCGCTGCGGCAGTGTGCCCACGCTGCAATGGCGGCACTGAGTGTCCTTTCGGCTCTGGCTGGCCGCCCCGTGGGCTTGCATTCGCAGTGTCTGTCCGTCTGACTGACTGGTCGTCCGCTTGACGCACCACATCGCGCTGTGTGTGCACGGGGTGTAAGGGCAGGTGCTTAGGGTGGTCTCGTGGGCCATCCCCCCCCCCCCCCCCCGTGTGTGTGTGTGTGTGTGTCGAGGCGCCCACCTGTGACGCTGGTGTCGTGTTTCGAGCGCTCTCGTTGTGGGACCCGGCCCGCTCGTGACGAGGAAGAATGATTGACGACGCGCCTGTCACGCCTTCGTCACGTGTCCGTCACGCACGTGCCACGCCTTCGTCACACGTCCTCTTTGTCACGATTCCGTCGGTGCGTTTGCGCACCTCGTGGTCACCGCGTTTTGGTCAGGTGGGGAGTAAGTGGTGACCTCACAACGAAACCAAAAAGCTCCGCACCCACATTGTGTCTTTTCCTCCGTTAGTTGAATTCTCCGCCTCAGCGCGACACGGGACCCACGGGACATTTTTGGCGGCAATCTCGTTAGCCTCGTTCTCACGTTGCTGGCCGCAGCCTCCTCCATACGGCGCTGTCTGCTCGCCCGGTGTGCCACCCCTCAGGCACGCTCCCCTGCCCCTCTCCAGCTAGGCTTTGCCCTGTCTGCTTTTTGACACGCGCTCGCAGACACACAGACACACACACAAACACATTCGTTGCCCTACAAAGTAATTTCTCGCGATATCAAGTCCAATTTTCACATGTTTCATTATTTTTTGTGAGTAGAAAAGAAGAAGCCTGCGTGCGCGGCTCGAATTTAATCTGCTTATACTTTATTGCGGAACGCACTGCGGTGTCGGGGAGGGGGAGGGGGTAGGGGCCAGGGTGGCGTGGTCAGGAAATGTGGGCCTACTTTTCCTGCGGGCGCGCCGCGCCCAGGCAGCCCAGCCCCGGCCCCGCCCGGCCCCGCCTGGCCCTGGCGCCCCGTCTGACCCGAGGCGGCCCCGGCTTCCTGCCATTAGTACGGCATTACCGGTAAGTGGCCATTACTTATTAAAGAAGCGCCAAAAATAAAGCGCCAAACTCCGAGCTCTGATTTTAGCCCCTCACCCGCAAACCAGATTTAAATTTGGAAAAAAAGAAGAAAAGGAGCATGGCGTGAGTGATGAAGATGGAAAGACTAAGCCGGAGACAACGCGAGCAGTGTCCAGAATTTAATTTTCAGCCGAGGGGTAATGGAAACGCACTCTGAAATCCAAGGCGGAAGGGGTTGTCTGACCCCTTGCAGGCTTAGTGCGGGTGCAAACAGGCCGTGGCGGGTGGAGAGAGGCCGGGAAGAAGAGATCATGCGAAATACACGCACGAGCGCGCGCTCACTCACACATTCATACTCACTCACAACGACGCACGGAAGATACTCAGAAAGCAACACGGAACGCGTCTAGCCTGAAGCGGTGCGGACGCTATGGCCTTCACTTCGCGTGTTATTCTCTCCATATACCCTCCCAAGTCCCTTCCGAACTTCTCTATTATCACACCGACACACACACACACACGCGCGCGCGCGCGCGCGCTGAACGAAAATATTCGACTTGCCCTACTCGCATGGAGAGAATTGCTTACAGTTTCAGCCCGAGAAGATAGAAAGAGGTCAGGGGGAAAAGATGATAATTATTTATCCAGTGGTGGTGAAGGAGGTGGAGGTAAACATCACCGTCTGGCTGTTTTCCCTCACCGGTGCTCTTTCCTCATTTGTCGTGCGGAAAGGAGAAAAACAGGAGGGGGACTTTTAAAATTGGAAACTTGGCTCGAGGCTGATGAAGAGGGAGGAACATGCCCCTTCCTCCCCTCTCTTCCCCGGGGAGGGATACGTCCCGAGCTAATTCTGGAGGAGATAAAATCGAGGAAAACTGTGCAGGGAGAGTGATTTCCTTTAGAACGTGCCCGTCGCACACAACGCGCCGAAGCCGAAAAAAAAACCACCTCTTCTCCTCTCGAGTTTCGGGATTTTAAATTTCCTCTCTGGTACTGTTTTCAAAGAGTTGTGTGGGCAGCCCTTGATATCTCTGGTCGTCTCTATGGATGTTTTTGCGATGAAGTGTTTGGCTCTGCTCGGGACCTTTATATCTTGTGTGGGCGTGTGGGTTGTGTTTGTGTTTGCAAGCCTCAGTTTGTGTGTGTGTGTGTGTGTGTGTGTGTGGTGTGCACGAGAGGCGCCTCAAGTCTCGGAAATGAAATCGGCAGACACACAACGCCTTCCATTTCCCTGGGCGGCGCTTGGCGGCGCTTGGCGGCGCTTTAGGGACACTAGCGCCGTCTATCGGCGTCCCGGGGCGTCACGCCAGCAACAATAGCAACAACAATATCAACAATGCGACGTGGCAGCGCTGCGCTCCCGGCGAAGTGTAGTTGCACGCTTTCAGTGTCGCCGAAAGGAAATGTAGCGAGCGAACCCCGAAGGGCCGAAGGGTGAGGCCATTTCCCGTGCATCCATGCGCGTGTAAGTGTGACACCGCACACTCGTCAAAGCGTGTCAGAGTGTCTCAGAGCGTTATTGTTTGACCGCGTGGCTCACGTGCTTTTACTGCGAGCCTCTGCCGACGATATTGGCCCTTTCGGAGGTCGTAACGAAATTCGCTTTTGGCCCCAACAGGTGATTGCAGACGACTCACGCAACTGTCGGTTCGAGCGCTGCTGCGCAGCCAGCCCGTGACTCCCTTGTCTTTTCTCATTTTTGTGCCTCGTTACATCAGATATCGTACCTTTTAATGAAGCTCGCGGAAAAACGAAAGTTTGTTTCCCCTGAAGCGTGTTTACTCGAACTCGTGATAAACACGTGTTCGTTCCATTTTGGTGGAGGCTCTGCGGCCGCGGGGCTCGGGTGTCGCTCCCCCTCCGCAGCTCGGCGGAACATCGAAATAATTAAAATTAAACCGGGGCGGGCGAACCAGAGCCCCGGACCGTCCGAAGTGTCGGCGTTACTCTGTGTCCAACACTGCTTTATCAGTCAACGTTGCCACCCGAGATTCTGCCGAGGCAGGAGTGAAGCAAGCTAGGTTATTTAGCCGGCCGGCCCACTTAATGGTTTTGCAAGGTGTGCCTTTTTGGTGCTCGTGGCAAAAATAATAGCATGTACTGTGTGTACTACTTACCAACGGGAATTTCTTTATGCCAAGCTTCGGATTCAGCCCCTGCAACAAAGAAAAACAATCTGAGTCATTATCGCTTGCTCATTGTATTTTCATCACAGAGTACACGAGCTCGCCACACTGCAAAAAACTTTCCCTCTCGGCCCGTTTTTCGCGTCACCGCGCAGAAAAGTCTCCCCCCTCCCACTCTTGCTTTGCCTTCCCCCGGACGTGTTAAATGAGCACAGCCCGGGGCCAGACATGCTCCATTGTGTCCTGTTTCTTCCTACTCCGCAGGAAGGGGCTCGCGGCAACGCCGTGTGTGTGTGTGTGTGTGTGTGTGAGTGTGAGGATGTGGCTGTTCGGGAATGTTCGGCACCCGGTCGGAATGTTTTCCCGGTGGCCCTAACGTGATGCACGGCCCAGTGGCGCGAGTGGCGCGCGTGCCGCGCCGATAGGCAACCTGCACGCACTGGAGCGGTATCACGGTATCGGATTCTGCTCCACGCAAGTTCGCGACCAACTTGCGGCGGGCATTCCTGGCGTGGAATCCGGCGGAAGGAAGCACCGCGTTTTCAATAGGTCGCCGCCGTAAAGCACGGCGCCGTTCGTTCTCTTCGAGAGGGACAGACTACCCTCTGCAAACCGCGCTCTGCCCGGGATTTTAGAAATTTTTTGAATTTCAGAGGCGCTTTTCGCCCTCTTTTTAGTTTTCCCTGAATTCCCAGGAATAGTTTTTTGACAGTGTCCTGGAAGACCCTCTGTAGCGTGTTTATTTGAAGCCGCCAATTTGACCCAATTTGGAGCGGTTGTTTCCGGCTCGGACGGAAGGCTTATGCGCCCCGCTGCATTACAGTTTCATTCACTATTGGCCTTGTGCGGCTTTAGCGAATTTAAAATGCATTAGCGAGGTGTGTTGTGCGCGCGTTGCCCGCCCCGCCCCCACCTCGAACCCTCGCAGCCTGCAGTCTACGATTGTGTTTTTATAAGGCGGTGTAAAACTTTATGAAGCCATTCCCGCTCCTGAATCGCCCCTAATCAAATTACGGTGGCGTGGCTGCAAGGCGCTGCAAGGAGGGAAGGAAGGCTGGCCTTTCTGCCACGTCGGGCCCACTTGTCTCGCCACCGTCAGAGCGTCGAACTTCTTCTCTGTCTTCCGTTCCGTCAGTGTGTCTGCCTGTCGTCGACCTTGTGGGCACTGTGTGCCTCGTGACCAGAGGGGATGTTGTTGCCTTTGCTCGGAGTTTGTCTAAATTGCTTCGTCCAGAACATGCTGATTCTGAGCAGGAGTCCAGTGGAACGACTTGAAGTTTGTGGATTGGTTTGTGGCCTGATATTTCTAAAACTCTTAACTGTCTTAAGTACTGTAATCATAAATTTTACTTCGAATAGGGTAAATTTGTTTTGCTCAGAAAAACGAACTCTTCGTCCGTTGTAAATTGAAAAGTATTCATAAAATAGAATGCACTTGATTCGCTTAGTGCGCTTTTCTGGTGAGGCGGGGCACATTGAAATGGCGGGGCCGGGACAAGGCGTTCGAGGAGGCGGAAGTTAAGAGCAGCGGCAACAACACTGCCCGCCATCCTTCATCTAGCGCAGTGCAACGCGGCTATCAGCCCGCGCGGGCCGCGCGCCGAGCCAAGAAGCCGAAGCAGTGCGAAGCCTCTGCTATCTGCAAAGTCGCTGCGCAGCGAATCATGCGCGCCAATCCCTCGTTCTTTTGTCTTCCCCCGGCGGGAAAAAAAGGGGCAAAACATCAACAGAAAACAAAACAACAAACTCGGCTGTCGCCTTGCGAAATGAGTTACGGTGCGGCCGCGACGTCAAGGCGACTGCCGACTGCGATTCGTTGCGGGCCTCCTCTGCTCAACCGGGTCAAATGCCGCCTTCGCTTTGTTCTGTTTATTTGTTTACTTTGCAATGGTGTTCATAATATGCACGGTAAAACGGAAACTGGTTTTCCCAGGAAGCCAATGGTGAAGGTATAGGCGATTTCCAGGAAGTTCCTGGGAAAACCAAGAACCGTTTTTAACGTGTGGAGCGTTAACTGTTTGCTAAGTATTTTGAGCATCCATAACCTTACAAAGAAAATAATTAGTCTTCTATAAACCAATTCTTCGTACGAATAATTAATTTGTGGTTTCTACTCCCTTTACTCAAAATACTTCGTAAGGTTGTCACCGTGTGTCAACTGTTCATTATTTGGCAGCTCATTGTGCGTGAATCAAGCCGAGTGTTTAATCAACGTCCGTGTCCCTGCTGGTGGAGACCGTGACGTAAGTTGAGCTCACCTGGTCTGGCAGGGGCCCCGGCTGGGGCAGACTGGAGCGCCGGCTGGAGCGCAGGCCGCTCGCAGCCCCGCCACCGCGCGGCCGCCGCAGTCCCGCCGCCCCGTCCATCTGCAACACATTGTGCAACACATTGTGAAACTCGTTGATTGCGATTGCAGGGAAGCAGGCAAGGGCGCAATCAGTGTTTCCTGGGTTAATCGGCACCTGGACATTTAGCTGTGGCCGCTCACGTGTCCCGGAAAAGTCCATTGGCAAAAAAAGGTGGCTGCGTCATTGCGCCTGCTGGCCACTAGTGCTTAATTATGAGGCTGCTGATGCTACACCAATGACTGGGAAACACAAAGTTTTCGCAAAGTTTGGCAAGGTCGGCTCACAGTCGTTCTCCCGGACAATTGTCGGTCTTAGGGCTCCGTAGGTACTCAGTAATTATGCAAGAGCCCCAGCTCGCACAACTCGGTGGGTTTTCGTTTTTTGTCTCGTGAAAAAAATAAAGGGGCACAGAAATTCCGTTCCATATTGCAGCTTTTTTCCATCCCTTTGAAATAAGCCGTCCCGGAATCGATTGGGGCAGGCCAGTTGTTGAAGAGGGTCGTCGTCGGAGGGGAAGGGGAGGGGGTGGCGGTGTGCCAGCAGCCTCGGCACCAGTCATATTTCGCTGGGAGAAAGTACGGCGAAAAATTGGTGTGGTCCTTGAGTTGAGTCAACTTCACTTGCCGCCCTGGGAGTCCCAGGCTGGGGCGCCCGGGGCCGCACCGCCACTTGAGTGGAAAATGAAACAAATGACCCTCTATCTGTTCTTGTTGTTTTTGGTGTTGTTTTCTTAGCACAGGTGTAATACGGGCTGGTGACGGAGTCACCCCGGCGCGCCCGGCGACTCTCATATTCAGCAGCTGGGAGGACCGGGCTGGGCCGAGAGCGCGCTCTGACGTCGGATTTAGAAACTTTGCTCGGCTTGACACTTTGCCGTCTGGCTGGATTTGCCTCGTCCTCGACCTTGACGCTGTTTTCTTTTTGTTCCAGGTAAGCAGCAGTTGACCGCGGCATGACTTGTCATCGGCAAACTCGGCGCTGGTTTGCCGCCAAGTGGAACAAAAACACGAGCAAAAATAAACTAACAAAACCACCGCGGCCAAAAAATATTATTCTTGAATTGAGTGTAGTGAATGATTGTGGTGTAAGAACCCCAAATTTTAGACGCCTCTGGTCCGAAACGAGCCTTTTGGCCATCGCTTACCCATGGTAGGACATGAAGGAGGAGAGTCTTGAGACCACCCGCATTCTCTACTTACCTGTCCGGCCGGCCGTCCGGTGTCACGCCAGCGCGGGAGCAACCTGCAACATAGTGGACCGATTATAATGGGGAGTGGGCGGTGCAGCGGCGGGGCTTCTGGGAGGGGCTCGGGGGCTCCTCGGCAGCCAGCCAGGACGCCATTTCATTTCACGGACACGTGTAGCGACGACTGTCGCAAAAACGGTCTGCGAGGTGTGGGCTAAGCAAGAACCCTGCAGCGAGAGAAGCAAGGGAACAGTGGTTCGCGTCTCTTGTCGCTTCCAAACTGTCGCTCAGGCTTTGGCAGACTCTCTCTCTCTCTGTGTGTGTGTGTGTGTGTGTGTGTGTGTGAGAAAGAGAGAGAGAGACGGCAAGTGCGCATGGTCGGCCCGGCGCATCCCCGAGGACACTGGCCAAGTTGAGCTGCGCCGTGGGACGCGTGCAACAGTAGTTCGGGTCCGAACGGCTGGCTACCCTACACCGCCAGTGCGAGCCAAGGGCCGTGGGGGCATGTGGAAGCGTCTTGCTGCTACTCCGCAAAACTTCGCGCCCCGATCTGTTTGCACGGGGGGCGTTGGACCGCACGTTTCGGGGTCTACGTGAAGTGCATACGGGTGCCTAATACATTACGGCACGATGGACGGCCCTGCGGGACGGCTTCCCCGAGCTGCCCTTAGCCTCCCTCTGCATGTGTTACTTGAGCCATGCGAGGACTGGAACCACACACACACACACACACAGGGTGTAATTGCTTTATGGCCCATCCATATCGAATTGGCATATAATTCGGCCTAAGTGGAGTTAAATTGGAGATAATTGGACGGTTGCTGGATAGTAACGTGCCCTGTGTGGTTTGTGTGAGTGTGTCCTGGTCATGGCGACGTTGCGACAGAAAACAAAACGAGACGAGTGGCGCCGCGCGTGCACCCTTTATCGCTCATCCCTACGCCGCCCTTAGAGAGGGACTCGGCTGCGACTGAGGGACTCCGCTCCCTTAAATCCGCCTTTTAAAATATTCCAGGCGGGAAATAGGAGAAACGCGTCCCTGGAGGCGTTTGCCTCTGGCTACAGCCTGGCTTCAGCCTGGCTACAGGTTGTTAGTGCTTCTCTCGTCCCCCCTCGCAGGGGCCTGAGGGAACGCTGTGAAAATTGCACTGTTTGCGAATGAAAAGTACTTGGCGTGCGGGGGGAATGATGAGAGGAGGGTGTGCCGTTTTGACCTAGTTATGCATCTCTGGTAGTGAAAGAGAATCAGGCCATTTTTGCCGAGCCGTACTGCGAGGCGCACTATCGCTCGGGTTCCACAACGCGTGACTTTGGCGACCAGTCTGTCCATCAGCCTGTCGGCAGCACCATCTGCGCGCCGCGAGGCGGACTTGTCTCAATGGTGGCGCGGTGCCAGCGCGGTCTGTGCGCTGTGCTCTCTCGGCCTCTTTTTCCCAGCACTGTTAGCACTCTCCGCTCTGCGGCATCACTACTTTTCAATTCCTGCCGATTATCTCGTTTCAATTCACGCCGGGTTTCACTGCACACTGACTCAGACAGCAGGGCGCGGAGTGGACGCGAGAAAGAAAGGCGGGAGACTTGGCCGAGATTCGAACCTCGGCCTCGAGAGCGGGAGGCACCGACTCCAAGAGTTATGGTGGACAAGAGCCGTGCATTAACCTGTCAGCGCGGAGAGAGAAGGGAGAGCGATGGCTGCAGGCCGGCTGACGAGTGATTTTGAAGAGTCCTTCCCTCGGCCTCTCTCGCTCCACCACGCGACGCCCCATGAGTGCGACGAGAACGCCCCTCTAGGAATCATTCTACTGGAGGTGTGCGGGGGATCGACGCGGACCGAGGCGCGGACGTCCCGGCCCTTTTTGCTGCGGAAGGATCATTTGCCGCGGGCGGCTTGACAGTGACAGCGATACCCTCTTCAGCCGTCAGCCCACGCGTCCCCCCCCCCTCTCTCTTTCTCACCCACGCTGGCGCCGCCTTGGACATGAAGTGGGTGGGTGACGATTTTGCTGAATTTATAACGTCGTTCTAAAAGTCGTAAACGGTAAAAGTCAGGATCCACCACTGCCCTCCACCTGCAGGTGCACGTGCACGAATACCACGGGAATAAAGCATTTCTCAAAGTGACAAAAATGTTTTTAAAAAAATTCCTGAATTAGTTCTGAAAAAAGCTTAAACTTCAAAATAAATAATGGCTCGATTAAAAGTCGTAGTTGGGGTTGTGTGACTCCACGTCGATGAAGTGCGGCCTAGCTTCAGAAATCACCAACTCTCCCTTCGAACCACCTGGCTGGTTCTTCCTGCACCAATTTCAGTTTCTCCAATCAGCCATCCTTCCTAGTCACTGGTCTCCAACAACTCATCCCCCGAGGCGTCTCTCGGCGGGGGTCCGCGCGAGGCCTGGTTCCCGACAGCCCACTGCGTCCTCCACGCCCCGCGGCCCGAAGCACCCCGGGGGCTGGGGTTGGCATGGCGACTTCTGGCGCCGTGCCAATACACAGTATCACCATACTGTGTGCGCGCAGCGTGCCCTACGGCGGGGCAGGCCTATGCCGCTCCATTCGACCCCTGTCCCTGGCAGGTAGGCAATCAGATGGGCACGGCCCGGCAAGGCCCGGCACGGCCGGAGGGACGGCCCGCCCATCCCAATGGGCCGTATTATTTGCCAAATTGGCCACCCTTTCGAGCAAGTTTGTAAGCAAATAGTTGGTGCCGCGTTCCGAGTTTACTACGTATTATTGTCAGTCTATAAACTTTCAGCACAGCTTGTTTTAGTGACATATAATGTAAAGTCCCAGCTATTCCTAGTGGCTCAGAGAACGGGTCCAGTAAAGCCCCCCGCCCCCACTCCCAGAAAAAAACATGTCCGGCTGGATTTTTCTCTTTTTTTCGTGTTTTCCTCGGGAAAGAAGGTGCTGCTGAGGTAGGAGAGCGGGTTGGGCTCCACAGGCCAGTAATTGGTCGCTAATGAAGTTGGAAATGAAGGAGGAAAGTTGCAGTGGAACTGCCGCGTCGGCTCCAGCGCGGCCGCCTCCGCCCCGCGCACTTTTCCATTATGGTACCCGTTTCCACGATTCTATTTCGCCGCCCGGCCAAGGCGTTACCTTTGCGGTCGCTTTGAAATCTCATGACGGAGTGTGCTTTCCACCAATGGCTGCCGCACTCCGGTCTCGATTGACTCCTCAATGTTTGGCTGATGATAGCTGTCTATATAAGCTTCACGAGTATATCAACTGAGTTGTGCACACTGGTCTGCAAGCCACAAGCCATATCAGCCAATCATGGAGGACTGTGTCGATGCTCTGGATGAGAGTGCGCAGTAATAACTTAGTGTTCTCTGAAGGTCGTTCCGGCTTGACTGACTGTAGCGCCGGCAGACCCATCCTTAGCGACAGAGTACTTTGAAGCATACTGGAGTTTAATAAAATGCAATGAAGACATGAAATTTTGAGTGCTGCCTGCCTTGCAGCGCAGTCTATGAGCGCGCTGCCGCTCCAAGTGGATATCATAAAAAGGGTTATGCTGGATACCCTCCAGTAACGCGCGCAGCTGATTGTTTCCGTGATAAGAATCGTTAATTTTCAAGCAGCGATCCTCTATTTCCAGGTTGTAATGAACTGTACCGCGACTTTGCGAATTGGTGGCACTGTAATTGTAGTCCTGAGCTCGAAAGCAAACGTCCTTCGTATTGCAGCTTATTGTTGACCAGAGAACAAGGCGAACCACAAAGCTAAATGTTTGTCGATCTCTCCAAGTTTATTTCCGTGACGTTTGATTGACTCACAGGTCAAGTACGCACTTTCTAAATTTCGTTTCGTCAGAATTAAATGGGGAATTCAAAGACGACTTTCCTGACCCAGTTTTGGCCAGTGTGCCGAGTGGGCCAAGGAACCCGCCCGAGGCTGGCCAATAAGCCACATCGATGCGTCCGTTCCCTGGTCGAGCCACCCGGCCGGCCCGGCGGACAATGGTGGCCGCGGAGCTTCGCGCGTCGCCTCAAGGGGAGAGGCGTTGTTTGGCGTCCGTCCGGCTTGTCGGGAACTATGGGGATGACGGGGCCCCCGGTGACGAGACGCCAAACACACGTTCGAATCCCGGGGCTGCTTTGTCGCGCCGCTGGGGGGCCCTCCCCGACGACGCCACCGCGACCTTCACGACGACGGCGGCGCTGCGGCGGGGAGGGTGGCGGCGACCAAGATGAACAGAGCTAACTCATCCTTTAGCGGCGCTGCGTCGCTACGCAGTTCCCCGCAGCCAACAGGCAAACATCTCATGCCCGCAATATAGACCGTTTTTCCGGACGCGCGCGCCACCAGCGGACCCCAGCATTTCCAGCGGCCCATAGCATTCTCCAGCGGCCTTCGGATCTAGCATTCTCCAGAGCCCTCGTCTTCTGCAACGGTCCCAGAAAGCCTCTAAAGACTGTGCTCCAGTGACTTCCTGCAGCGCTCGGTTCTTCACCGGCATTTTCCAGCATTCTCCAGGACCCTCCTCCAGTGTTCTCCAGCAGCCTCCAGCGCTCTTCGACTCCCGGCCTCCAGCCGTGCCGCGCTGGACGGGCGGCCCTAGACGCCGAGGCGCCCCGGCGCGGCCCGCGCGGCCTTTCCGCATTCCGTTACATAAATCTTGTCTCGGAGTAATTGGAAGCCAGATTGCACAACATTATCATGGCCCCTTTTCTGCGGTGGCGGCTGCTTCGACTAGTGGCCTAGTTCCTGTGTGTGTTTGTTTCCGCCTTGTGTGCGTGCATGTGCGCGGTGCGCTGGTGCGGCTGTGTTTGTAATGCGTTAGCGCGCGCGCGCGTGTGTGTGTGTCTGTGCGACGAATCGACACGCGACCTTTATTCACACTATCGCGAGAAGGCGGTCGATGTGATACAAACAGTGCTTGCCTTGGCCTGCTGGCCGGTGGTGCTTTAAGGCGCTCTTACACAAAAAAATCATTTCTGGAGACATGTTTTGTTTGTGCCGAATGTCCCGGAATGCTCTACTTTGCTGACAAGACTTTTCTGGGCGTAGCCTTCGTCGAGGCGACAATAATCAGGCAGGTGCGACACCGAAGC